AAAATGACAAGCTGGGCAGTGCCACTCACGGTACTTTGGAATCCTAATTTTTTAACCTTTGTTTCTGCCACCTAGGTTAACTATTCCTCTTCTATGATTTATTCTCATACCTGGCACCCTAAGTTTATTATGCACCATGGATACCAGTGCGAGAATAAAGATTTGAAATAAGGCATTCTTCAGATATTTTCTGTTGACTTTTATTGAGAATTTTTTTTTTTTTAGGTGAGAAGAGAAAAAGGCGTTAGGTCTGTTCTGTTTGTTTTACCGTTGATTGTTTTCACTTAAATATGATAATCAATTTTTACACAAAGTTTTCATCTCAGCAGACAAATGTATTCAGACAAGCATACACACTAAAAAATTTGCCTTCTATTTCTATGATTAATTGAGATGTAGAGAATGATGGGTGCAGGGTAAAAATGGAAAGGCAATTAGTGCAACTAGGAATGAAATACATTCATATACAAGCAGAACCTCTCCCCAGCAAGTGATCTTTTTCTGGGCTCTGAGGATTAGCATCCCATTAGTAAGTCGCTGGCATGGAAATCTTCAACCTTTGGGGAGATCAGAGCATTAAAAATAGAATTAACTCTAACTGCAAACCAAGTCAGTACACTAGGCCATTAATTCTTCTGCTTGGGTATATATCATGCTGAGCTTTGGTGTGTGGGCTTCTGAAATGTTAGGAGTGAGTTTTATAGAGCATTACCAGGACTAAATTATCGTTATCTATCATCTCATCTCTCACCCTCACTACTGAGATATTAATATCTCTCATGACCCAAAACCAGAAATACAGGCAGAGGCTTTTGCTAGAAACATTACATAGGGGCCTTTCTTTAGGGAAGTAGTATATTGTATATTCTGTGAACGTAAATCTATGTTGCGCTTTACAGTATGTCAGAGATTCCTTATTTTCAAAACCTCATGTCCTCAAATAATCACAATGCCTCAAATGTTATCCCTTCTAAAACTGAGAATTATGCCTCTATGCATAACTCTACAAACTAATAATAAAAGTTGCCAAGTGATATTATTCTTAGAAATATTAGTGGTATTATAAACATTTTAAAGTCAACTTCCAAGTATAAAATTTATTGAAATATGTAATATATTCAAGCTACATGTAGCACTCTCAATTTCTAATAATCTCTCTTTTCTTCCCTTACCCTTCTCCAGCTTCTTTGGGAATTTCTGGCAGGTATTTTCTTCTTTAATCAACCCAGAGCAGTACAATTATTAACAGCCATTGACTGATTACCTGTCCCGGGGATTCTCATACTTGGCACTATTAACATTTGTGTACAGATAATACTTTGTCATGGGACGCTATCCTGTGCTTTGTAGGATGTTTGGCAGTATCCCTGGCCTGTACCCATAGCAGATGCCTGTAGCAACTCCCCATACTGATAACCAAAAATGTCTCCAGATATTGCCAAATGTCACCTGGTGGAAAAATCTTCCCTGGTTGTGAACCTCTGGTCTGTTCTCTACTAGACATTATTTCATTTGATCTTATAGTAACTGCAAAATACATAGGACTATGTTAATCAGGATCCTGGCAGGGAACAGTTGAAGCATGGATCATAGATTTTTATGAAGAAACTACTTAACAAGGAAGCGAGTATGGTTAAATGAACTGCTTAGGGATGTGGGGGTGCCCAGAAAATAGCAACAGTGGGAGGTCATTCCCACAAAGAAGAATGGGGAAAAATTTGTTCCTGAAGTGCTGAAGAGCTCGGGCCATGGAATAGGGTCTTCCAGAAGGAGATGAAGTTAGGAAGAGACAAAGCCATGGCCAGTGATTCAGCATTGTGGCGGAGAGAGTGTCGGACAGCCTGGCCTCTCCCTCCTCCTTAATTCTTTGGCCACCAGCCTGTCATGCCACTAAATTGAGCCCAAATGAAATCCAACCAGCAAAGAACTAGAGTGATGCACCTCCAGGATTCAGCCCCCATGGGCTCAGAGAAGGAAGGAAAATTGAATCTGTTGGGAAAAAATGAAGAGAATCCCTTCAATGTCCCCATTTTAACATGACAAATCGAGGTTTAATGATATAAAGTAATTAATCCAAAGCCAAATAGCTAATGTGTGGATCAGGCATTTAAACACACATCTGTTTGACTTCAGGCACAAAGAAAGTATCATCATAGTTGGTCTGTGTGAATGAACTGATGACTACAAATTATTCAAGGTTACTGATTTTAGTAGGTGGTAGATACAAGACTAGAACCCAGTTCTCATTCCTCTTCTGGTGTTTGTTTGCTTTTTTATGTTGACAGTTGAAAGAAATCTGAGAGCTATGTATCTGGCCGATTCTCAAGTAGACAAACAGGAGTGAAAGCTATCTGCTGACCTTAAAAATCATTTTTCTGAAAATCTTGGAAAATTTTAGCTTTCATCTAGAATGTTTAAATGGCATATGCTATTTTTCCAAGCTTTCAGGACATTTTCATCTTGACTGCAGACACTCATCCCCAGCTGATGCCGTATATTAGGAGAGGTAGGAGGACAAGACTAAGAATCAGGAGATTTGGGGCCGAGTTCTGGATCAGCCCCTCTTAGCTGTGTAACTAGCCTTCAGAAATAGTACCAACAATATGTTTCATAAACCCTTCCCTTTCACATTCACCCAGATCCTCACAGTTATTCTCAGGTATCTAATTGGAAAAGCATTAAGCTAGGTTTCACAAATGAAGAATCAAGCTTAGAAAGCACTAGAATCTCACTGCATATTTCATAGCGAGAAAGTCGTCCCATGTAGACTGAATTCACATCCCCTCACTGAAAATGCATGGCCTTTTCTGGTCCACCCACCACTGCCTTTTGAAGTGATCAGTTGATTTACTCCCTATGAACAGCTCATTTGCAGCATTTAATCCATCAGTTTTTACTATAAAATCATATCTCCATCTAAGGTCTGAGAATCTGTGATTTCCTATGGTTATTAGCAAGGCTACAGAGGATACCAATGCACCTGGGGATTCATGGTTCTTCATTTTTCCTTCCTAGGTTCTAGATAAATATATTTATAATCCGTAACTTTTCAGAAGCAAGATAAATATTTTAAAATATTTTCTAGGTTCTAGACAAGTATATGTATCATCTGTAACTTTTCAGAGGCAAGATGAATATTTTTAAAGGTATTTAAAAATAAATGTGTACATGGAAACATATCTAAGTACGATAATATAGTCCCAGTATCTCACTTTAATTTTGGGTAAGTGGTGGGTTAGAAACTGAGATAGACTCCTACACTAAGGTGAAATGTGTTGTCACTACTGGAAGGTCTGGCAAGAACCTTAATCCTTTCCAAAATTGGTTTGTTTGTTTGCCTCCATGTGGGAGGCCCAGTAAGTGATACATTTCAGACATCTATCACTTTGAGCTTGTGCTCAGCCCTGATCTCTGCCCCACCTTTTGACACCCTAGTTTTACAGCATTTTCAGGCTTCTGATTTTTTTTTATCTTTTCAGTATTTTCAGGCATAAAGTCAGGTGTATAACACAAAAAAAATGTAGCTAGCTTTATTTTTTGTATCTGAACTTCACTTTTTAAGTTCCTATTTCACCAAGCCAATTCCAAGAAATTGTATAATGCAGGGATTCTCAGTCTAAGCTTAAAGCAAAAAGTATAGATATTTGAAGACTAAAACCAAAACAAAAAGTGGAGAAAAATTTTAAGTTCTACTTTTGATATCCCTTATAGTATTGCAAAAATGTAAATTCCTTCAAAAATGTTTTCACTGATAAAATTCTAGCTACATTATAACATTGTATCTGCTCTAGGTGATTAGTGGTGCTTTAGGAAAAGCTATCTTATAATTTTTATGGTGATCATAAATAAGGAAAAGTAGAGGGGCAGTATTTTCAATATTTAGAATAGACCTATGCCAGACAACCTGGGTACAAAGCCTGGCTTCATCCCTTTTTACCTCTGTAACCTTGGGCAAGATACTTAACCTGTCTCTGTGTTTTGGTTTGCTCATTGATCTAATCAAATTATAAATCGGCATAGGCTTTCTAGATGTTTTCATGGTTAAACAAGTTGATATTGATAAACATTTAGAATAGTACTAGAACATAGAAATGTTTGTTGTTACCAGAAATATCCTTTCCATCATGATCATCACCACCACCATCATTATCGTCCACTTCTGCTGCACAGAGAGGCAATCCAGTGTTTCCATTCTTCTAAAGTATTATTTTTAAATAAGTGGCATTATTTTAAAAATAGTGAAGCTCTATGATAAGCTTCACTGTTTAGAATACCAAAGAAATGGTAACATATATGTGAATAATCTGCATTTGTATTATGGAATATTAACCTAACTCAGAACCTTCAATTTGAAGACTTAGCCACCTTTTCCTTCTAGCTAATAGTATACTGAATGCATAAAATGTCTTATTTGCGTTGATTCTAGTTGGTTTGGTGTCATTAGACTGAGTATGTTTTCCCAAGGTTTAAGGTTAGAAACTACTGACAAAGAAATATTCCAGGAGTCAGAATTAGATATAAATTATGTGCTGCTGAGGTGTCTTCTTATTACCACAAGTCAGGTCAGAGTCTCTAAAATAACATTAAGTTACTGTTTTAGTAGTTATTAAGTTTCACCCTTGAGAGAATTAAGAGGCCTGACAATGAACTATATATAATAAATCTTACTGTGACCCAAACATAATTAGCAATTAAACTTCCCATTAACAATCCCAATTCTGCTAGATAAAATACGTAGAAAATTTACATTTTTGTTTACTTTTTACTTTCATATTTAGAGAAGTTGAAAAAACTTTTACACATTTCATAAAAATAATTGCAATATTTGCCTGTTTCATTAATGTAGAGTCAATGCCTCATTTATGTGTTTGGTTTTTTCATTTGAGATGAGAACGGACCAAGGAATGGGTGAGACTTTTTTTTTTTTTTTTTTAAACACAGGAGCAATTGGCTCTCTATTTTTTTTTAATTTTCATCTATTTTTTTGTCTCAATCCCCAGCCTCTGAGCCCAACTTGAAGGTGCGGTCCAGGTTAAAACAGAAAGTGGCAGAGAGGAGAAGCAGCCCCTTACTCAGGCGGAAGGATGGAAATGTTGTCACTTCATTCAAGAAGCGAATGTTTGAGGTGACAGGTAATTGAGGCTTGGGCAGACATATGAATGCTGGGAGTAGGAATGAAAAAATAGTTTAGAAAAAATATACCTGCTGCATATTAAAAGTTATTTTGAGGAGAAATATTTCTTGAAAGGGAATTATATTGAAAACTCACAAGTAGTTCAATAAACCTTGCTATGCATTCACCAACTGTGTTAAACAGGAAATGAATGAAAAAAACAGAACTATGTGTCAATCAAGGCATAACTAGGGAACACCAAAGCTTACCTTATTTTTTTCAGAAACAGGCAGTCCATTTTGGAAATGCCAACTCAGAGAGTATAATTTTTAATGAAATTTGATCAGAAATGAGCAGAGGGAGGTCCAAGAAGAACACTTTCCCCTGTACTCAGACATGAACGTACAAAATACATCTGGGAAAATTAAACTGCATGGAACAGCAAAACCTTGACTTTTCAACAAATTTACAGAACTCATAAATGACTTTATGTGTTTACTAGTGATGTGGGACTTATGGCAGGAGGGGGATATATTGCTTTTTATGAAGGGGAAGAAACTGTCATTTTCACGGGTCTCAAATGGAAGAGTTATTTTTTTAGCTGCCTGTTTTAGTAGAGGGGTTAGGAAATTCAACCTGAGGTCTTACAACACCCCTAGTTCCAGTTGTACCTAGTTTGAAATGAAAGACCTAAGACTGTAAGAACCAAAAATGCTAGCCAAAATACTCCTATTTACCACTTTTTGAGTGCCTACTTAGAGCCATGCATTCTGTCTAGTTGTTTCCTTTGGTTGCATGAAGAAAGAAGTGGTAATCTGCAACCACTTTTTTTTTTTCATTCTCAAGGAAAATTGTGCTTTTCTCAATGTGGGCAGTTGGCATTAGTTCTCCATGATCAGATCTTATTTTTAGTAAGTTTTAAAAAATTCTTTATTTTTTATATATTTCTTTTGGCCATGACAGTGTCTACAAGAAGGCAATATGGAGGAAGACTGTGGAAGTGGAGGTAGAAACATGTATTAGCTACTAATGCAACTTAAAAGTTTGACGGATAATTTTGGGAAAAAATATTTAGGCTCTTAATCTGGATACCTTTATATGCTTATCTGAAAAAAAGTGTTAGTGATTTCAATGGGAAATATTTCCTTGGGATAAGAAATATTAAAGAAATGAATAATAAGTACAATTATTTTACCAGAGTTATATGTAATTTCTAACAAATAAAAATCATAAGTTTTTCTAATAGAGATCTTTGGTGGGGGTGGGCAGTTGGGGAGTGAATTTGTTTTAATGAATGTAAAGAATTATAAACCTATCAGGTGTCTAATGTAAATTTAGATAGGTGGTTTTCTAGTAGGCCCCCCATAACAGAAAAACTTCTAGAAAAGAAAAAGTTGAATATAATGCTATATTATTTTGCTTCATAATCTTAATGTCTAAAGTCGTATTTATTTATGCCAATGAGCTTTTCTGTTTTACTGTATTCTGTTTTCTTGATTATACCTTTTTCTATACAGTCGCTTTTTCTTACATACCAAATTGCAGTGGCATTTAGCTCAATACCTATCTCAGTAATGAATGATTCTTATTTATAAGGATTGTGAGTTGCCAGAGTTTTACTCAAATTTCCTTAATTTAAAATATATTTCTCTTCTTAATTTTTTTTTTTTTTTTGAGATGGCGTCTTGTTTTCTTGCCCAGGCTGGAGTGCAGTGGCACGATCTTCTTAATTTTGTAAGATAAGGAATCACCCTTTCATCTCAGGAAACAATATGTATTGTAAAAGTTACTTGTACATTTATTAGACGGACATTTCTAGTCAGTGAGCTGGGACTTGTGGATGCTTTGGTAGATATTTATAACTGGTATGCTGTAATTAATTTAAATTTCTTTGGATGCCCTGGACTACAGACACACAGCTGTCTTCACTTGTACTCCTTCCCATTGCTCTGCCAACTTTCATCTAATTTGGATGAGATCTGTTTGGATCTTAATACTAAATATGTTTAGTGTCTAGTCAGAGACTGTCATAGCATCATAGCAGTTTAGTTGCTGTTGCTGTTATTCTCTTACCTCTATATGTTTTTTTCTCTTCCCCATTTCATAAAGTGTAAGCTGCTTTCAAACTCATTCCACATTACTGACATAAGAACCCACTTGCCATCTTTTTTTCAAATTCAAGTATTTTCTGCCCTCTACAAAAAGTTCCATTCTTTTCAAATGTTAAAATTGACTCTCCCTGTGTCTGCAGTGCCTTCTCTTTCATTCTACCCACTCCAGCATCCTTATTTCATTAGCTACCCTTCTTCAAGCTCCAGTTCCAATATCAGTACACTGACCTCAGAGATCTCAGAAAATCAGTTGCCACCTTCTCCAAGATCCCATCCAGTTTGATGCCGTAGAATCCTCTGGTACAATAGTTGCTGCCTTGAATTCTAGTGCTTATCACAGTAATTTCTACATAAGGAAATACTTCAGTATGAATATCATAAAATAATATAAATAATATAATTTAAAATGGGTAAGACAGAATGTTTAAGAAAGTAGTTTTTTAAAAATATGGCAATGGAAATGATATGGAAATGAGACAACAAGAAATCAGTCATATTGTAAGACAAGAGTTAGGAGTTGGGAAAAAGAAGCTCCTATAAGAATGTTTAAAATTTCCATTTTTTTGTTGTTGTTGTTAAAGGAAACTAAGTGGTGATGATAAAAGAAACAGATTAATCAAAATGTCAACAAGATATATAGACAGAAAGGCAGTGAGAAAATTGTTTAAGTATTTTATGATACTAATAATTTGCTTAAATCCAAGAGTGAATAAGTGGCAGATTAGAATTCTTACATCCTTTCCAGTGGCACTGCATTTCTGAGTAGATACATAATTATGATATAAGTTGAAAGTTATAGGAGTTCTGAGAGAGGGCAAGAAAATATTGCCAGGACACTGGGAGTTCCCGTTCTCTGAGGGACATATGTTATATGAGGCAGGCTTTTGACTTTATAAGTGAGATTTGGCCTGCAATAAAATAGAAGGAAAGAGGATAAAAAATAGCATGAAATGGAAAAGTATTTGGCATTAAAGGAGAATAGGTGATTTAATTTGACTGAGTGTAGAGTAAAAAAAGGGCAATGGTGGAAAATAATATTAGGCTCCATTCTGGAGCAGAGGGACATGGTATGAGTTATCTCTGTATGATCCTTTTGCAAGAGTTTAAAAGAAAGGTTTGAGAGACTATTGTAGTGATTCGGCAGTATTAAGGAGACTTTTGCTATAGTTCATGAGAATACATAACAGTGCCTTAAACTGAAATGATTGTAGTCAGACTCAGATGAGAGATAGTATAAAGATCACATTAAAAGGACCTAGTAACTAATTAGATTTGTAGTAAAGACAGAGTGAAGATGACACTAGGGTGATGATAAAATAGAGATAAGCAGGAAACAGCTAATATTAAAATACATATATTGACTTTGACACATATGTAGGGGATACTGAAATGTCTACTATTTCAGAAGAATTTGGGCTGGAATTTATGAGTTAAAGGCAAGAAATATCTCTTAGGAGATAATTCTTGACATATGAAGTCAGGATATTGAGTGACTTTGACAAGGGAAATAGAAAAGGGAAAAAGCCACAAACTTAGGTGAATGCCTGAATTTAGGAATTGGTAGGAGGAAGAACAAAGAGATGGAAAGACAAACATGGACATAGAGAATGCCACTGTACAAAAGATACGGAGATGAATGTTTTCTCAAAGTCCTTCAAGTGTGGTGGCATATGAGAGAATAGTTGCAGTTATAGTGGGTAAGCTATGTTGCCAGGGCTTGAAGAAGTGAGTGGACATGGTGAGAACATGCCACTTCTCAAGAATTACTAGGATGCTGATAGACTAGAGGGGAAATTCCATTGTAGGAGGAGGGCCTGAAGATTGCACCTAACTGATGGAACAAATCCTTTCAGGATTTTGTTTAAGGGGATGGGATCATGGGTAAGATTAAATATGTGAGAGAACAGAGGAAGAGAAATGCCTTGCATTTGAGGTGGGAAAAGAGAATGCAGATGACATAATCATGAGGAGAACAAAAAGATGCTGGTGGAAATAATATCAAAAGTCCTGTCTCTGAAAAGCATGAGGCAAGATCATTTGTGCAGAGTTGGGTTGACAAGATGTAATGATGAGGCAACTAGGAAAATTTTGAAATGAGTGAACTATAAAAGGTGGTAAGGAATTAATTAGAGCTGAATAAATAATTTGCCCAGGCTAGATAAGATGACTTCTCTAGTTATAGCTCTAGGAAGCGGAAACTTATATTTTTGATTAAATGTTTCAATAAATGCATTAGTTTCTGCATAAGTTGAGGTACATGTGAATTTCATATCTGAAGAGGAAAGGATGAGTTAAATAAGGAATCTGTCTTATTGTTGGCTAACTTTTCCTAAAAGGAATTTCTTGTTATATTGGTATTTAAAAGTCTACATGTTAAATTTAGACAACTTCTCATCCTCTAGAAAATAGAGTCAAAGTCTGATGGTGTTGTACAAGGCCATCGGTGCAATGTTGAGATTCTACATTTTATTGTATTTTCTTCATATAACTTTGACTCGTATACACTATAATAAGGTATAGCTTTAATATATTAAATAAAAAACAATTTACAGCACAGCATTTGAGCAATTTTTTTTTCAAACCTAACAGGAGTGGGCCTGGACCTCATGTATTAACAATCTGTTTTGTGATGTGAGCAAGTTCATTATCTTTATTACTGTTATTTTCGATAATAGCAAAAAAGCAAGTAAGAAAAATATTCCCTTCTTTAGTTATATTTTTTCTCACCCAAAGCTTCTGTGACCCTCTCTAATTGGATATCTTTACTTCTCTAGAAACTGTTGAAATACTATGTTGTATGTTTTGCCATAAAAAACAAAGGGGGAATAAATGGTATGAAAATTGACAACTATTTCAGACATTTTTAGTTCTTTCTATTTCATGAAATACTGTTTGCATTTATGTAGGGGGAAAATAACATGCCCAGTTACATGTTACAGTAACTAAAGTTCATCTGTATATGTTCCTCATGAACACATTTGTACTTCATAATATTTTTCAGAATCCTCAGTCAGTAGCAGTTCTCCAGGCTCTGGTCCCAGTTCACCAAACAACGGGCCGACTGGAAGTGTTACTGAAAATGAGACTTCAGTTTTGCCCCCTACCCCTCATGCTGAGGTAAGACCCTTATTGTTTCTTTTTAAAATGGAATGTCTGATTAGCTGCCTAATTCAAAGTGATATTTCTGAGTTGACCTTTAATATCCAAATGATATTTATGAATTGAAGTTTACTCAATTCCACATATTGTAAACCAGTTGAAAAAAATTGATATTTACTAACTAATGTAAATATTATAAACCTATATGAAAATATATTTATTAGCTGATATTTATTAGCTGACATATATATCAGTTTTTTTCTTACATAATTTTTTCTCATGTTAGAATTGAGTAAACTTGATCTTATTTATAAATCAGACAACCAAAGATATTTGGAAGGCAATCCAGGCTTGAAGAATATTGAAATGTAATCCTCAAACATTGTTAGTGATCCTCAGTGCACACTGCCTAACAATTGTGTAACTTACGAGTCATTCTGCTTGGTTACTGGTTATGCCAATAAGAGTAGACACATCAATAAGTAAATACAACTCATGCAGGACTCTCAGAAGAACCTAGTGAGGTGGATTTTATCCAGTTGAACTGAAAAGTGATGAAAAATAATTACAGTATTATTGTTAAAGGGTGTAAAGCTTCACTGAGCAAACCTTTATGGAGCACCTGCTATATTCCTGCCATTTTGCCTCACAATAGGGATATAAACTCTATGACCAGATATAAACTCTGTGCTTGAAGAATCATATATTAAAGGATACTAGTTTAAAGTAACATGATTTAGTGTAACCAATGATAGAAGATTAAGAGGAACGTTAATATGAAAGTCAGCAAGAATTTGCCAATGTATTAGGCTATCAAAGGCAAGAGTCTGAAAATAGACACTCATGAAATCAGCTGATTTGAAGTCATCAACAATTGACTGAAAGCCTTATTTTTTTTTCCTGTCATTATGCCTTCTTCACTGTGCATTGCTCTATGCCAGGTGAGCTGGTGTGTTATCTTCTAATATATAACATCCTTCTTTCTTTATATTTTATAGAGTCATGGTATCTTGAGACAGAAAGGGACTAGTCAAATCTCTTATTCTTGGATCATCTCTGTAGCTTTTCTGCTGTGTGATTATCCAGCTTCCATTAAAACACTTCTGCTTATAGGGAGCTCACTTCACTGTCTCTTGAGGCAACTCAATTGATTTTAAATAGTTATTTTGACTGTGTTTCTGTTGCTCTGTAATTTCATATATTTTATACACACAAACACAAACATGCATATGTATAATAATCAGTTATGAAATTATCAGGTCAAAATATAAGTGAGAGTATAAATCCAGAAGTTATCTCTGATGAGCAAAGGACTGAAGCCAGTAAAATCAGTTTTACTGTAAGCACATTTGCACACTCGAGTTTTGAGCTTTGGTTTTCAGGACCTCAGAAACTCAAGAGGTAGAAGATAAAGCATAGTACTGACCAAGGAGGATAATCTTATAGGAGACCCTCCAGAAACTAAGCTGACATCCCAGAGGCCCATATCTATGCTACATTGGTGAGTTGACTGTCCCTCTGACTGCTCTGTCCCCCCAACACCCTGCCCCTGCTGTCTGATGTGGAGCAGAGAAGAGGGCAGGTCCTCTCTCTCAGATGTTGAAAGCACAAGCTAGTCCTCGTGTAGATCTGTAGCCCAAATCACATAACCTCAAGCTGTTGACTTAACGTGGCCCCACATTTGATGCTGTGAGTGTGTACAAAGCAAGGAAACCCCACCCTGGAGGAATATGCCGTCTTTCTAGATTTCAAAAATCTTCCTCAAATAAATTTCCAAGGAATATGAGCCAAATATCTAGATGCTGTCATTTATGACCATTTTCAGCTATTTAAAGAATAGTAATTCTGGCCTCTACATGGTCTTCAGGTACCGCATCTATTTCTTACTTCTTATTATCCTGTCATTCCTCTTTCTGTTTTCCATTATCCTTTCAAAAACATGATAGCAGATTGAATAAATACTTTGTTTATATTTGTGACCAGAGATGTAAGTGGAATTATTGGACGTTAGTTGTGGATAGCATCTGTTTGTTAGTGTAGTTATACCTGGATATTGGTCCATTCTCTGCAACTCTTTAGTAAATGTTCAGGAAAAGAACAACTTGATCACAATTTTTTTTTTCAAAAATCTGTAGGTTATTATCTCTCAGTATGAAGAATATGATTCTTAGTAATTATGAAAGCACCAAAGGATCTGGGTTCTAATCAGTCCCTGGATGGATTTTGTGCCTTTGAAAAATGAAAACAATACACAATGCTACATTCAGCAACATGTATGATTATCAGAAACGCATTGTCATTGCAATGTGTCTGAAGACCACTTACAACATAGGAGCATTTTATTAGGTTCGGAAACAGTAATATAATACTTCGTTTGATAATATGTAGTAATATTTTTAAAAGGCAAGAGAGTGATGAACACAAAATTTAGCATGATGATTACCTTTAGGTGGGAAGGAGGGGGAAACATGATTTGATAGTTACTAAAGAAGAAGATATGTATATTCCTTCATTGTGAATACATATATATCTGCATATTGTATTTAGTACAACATATTGGAACAACCAAGGAGTGTGCATTGGTGAAGAATGTAAATTAAAAGATTTTGCTTATGCTGTTTTAATCTGTTTTATATATCTAAAGCCATAACTTGCCACAAATCATCTGTTTAGGTGCTCTAGCTTTTCAGCTATTGTTGAACATATTCTCTCACTGCAAACCTTTTCTTTCACCGTCATTAAAAAACAAAAAAAAAAAGAAAAGCAAAACAAAACAGAAGGAAATGTGATTTAATGGAGTTTAAAAGGGTAGAGGTATTTCTTCAGGTCAGTGACAGGACATTCACCTCCAGATCTGGAAAGATGAGTTCAAAAGCAAGCAGTGACTTACCTCATAATGAATTAATTGTGTGCCTGAACTATGATCCAAAAGGCCAGGTGGGCAGACCTTTATGCACTGATGGGTAGCCTCTCTGTGGCCCAGAACAAAAAATGCAATCCTGATGGCTAACATGTGGTTTTCTGCTATATTGCATTTACAGAGATCTGTAGTGTAATTCATTCTTGATAGGTGAGGAGACAGCAGAATTTAGACTAAGACTGTCAGCAAATTAATATCCTAGCTTTGTAGCACTAAATGTTTCTACCCAAACTGGATAAAGGAGGAAAAAAAAATGCTCAGCTATACTTGAGTAACCATCATTTAGAATTTAGGATGATTTTTACAGATGTCTCCAAAGATTAATAGTAGTACGGGATTTCATACCAACAAATACTTTGGGTGTATGAATTATTTACATAACATATTGCCCTCTAAAAAATGGTTGCATACTTTACCATTTACACAACAGGCTTATTCTACTATTTTTCCTTAAGCAACGCTAGTGAGTTTTTATATTTAAATGGTGTGTATTTGAATGAAGTCTTTATTTCATGGCCTGTAAGTAGAAAAGCATGTTACCGAATTCTTTCAGAGCCCATGTAAATGAATGGGATTTTATCCCATTGTGATGGTTCAGAAGTAGGAAAGTCAGGCTGTATCTAAAGATCTTGAGTCCTAGATGAAAACGAAATTTTCTGTCTTGTAATTCACATGTCCTGCCTAATTTAGATAAAGGGAAGACAGAAGTAGGAGGAGAATTTACTCATAAGTTGAGGTTCAGGAAATAGCACATTGTGGTGGAATGTATGGGTGTTCCATTCAGAAGACTAGGCATGAACCTGGCTCTAAAACCGGGTACCTTGTCTTCAATGGTCAAGTTGCCAGACTTCTCCTGACCCTCAAATTCCTGATCTAGCAGAAGATAGTATCGTAATACCTACACCAGCAGCTTTGTTTTTAAGAAATCAGTGTTTGGAAGGCAGGTGGTAAATTGTGATGCTCAGAAAAAAGTTCATTTTTTGTTATTATTATCAACACTGACTCCTGGTAGGGAAAACTCATTAGCATGTTTGTCTTCAAGCCAGCAGCTCTCATGTGAGAGTGAGTCTCCATCTGCTTTGACCACTTCTGTTCCATTTCTTCTATTTCCTACATATGCTCAGTCCCAGAACTCAGATTGTTGGAGCTACTTGCTTTACTCATTTGTAAACTTGGTTGGGGAGCTGAAACCTCAGGAGTTTCTATTTCCAACTCCAGTCATAGATGTCTTTACCTATCTAGTTACTTTATTGTTAATACTGTGGGACTGTGGGTTCAAATATGTTTCCATGGATATCAACACTATTACTTTAGATTCAGAAGATTTATTTGATAGCTATTTTAACAGTAGCCAAGCTGCTGGTTTATTTCTAGTTGAACATTAGTGGCTGTCTCCACTATGCTATTTTTTAAATAATTTTTCCAGCAGATACAAATGCTTTAAAAAAATGATTCTAATATTCTAAAATCATCTGTAATGTCACTTGTTTTGCCCCAATCTCACATGACTCATCTGCCTGTTGTTTCATAATAGTTGTTGTGACATTTGCTGTAAATGTTATACTCTCTTCTGAGTGGGTGTAGAACTGTGGTTTTAGATAGCAGCAAATAAAACATGTTCCCCACCCCCTACCTCAGGAAAAGGAGGTTGCTATGACAAAATAATCATTTACTAGGAATAACATGAGTCAATATTTTAAAGCAAGATCTTTAGCAAAACATCAGTGCCTTTCAAATGTTAAACTCTGTCAAATGATTTTTTCTTTTCCTTTTTTGTGTTTTTGGTCTCACAATATGTCTTACTATTTTATAGTAACACCTTCTTGGATGTCCAGTAAAATGAAAACTTGAGAGATTTCTACTGCCTCAAGAATTTTTTTAATTACATGGAGATTTTAATTTTCTATGAGCTAGCTGAAAGAGACTAGAAAATAAATACAATCTTGAAAAATCCTGAAAACTGTAGCAAAACATTAAATTATTAAGATTTTCTTTTTTAAAATGTGGCTATATTCTTTTTAGATAGCCTGGATTCAGGGACTTGGGACCCTGTAAAGCCAAAGCTGACTGACACTTCTAAGCATGTCTTCCTGTATCC